TTCCCTCATGGGGCATGCCAGGAATGTGGGTTGTGGGAAAGGCTTTCAAACACACGCCTGGAGATTAAAATGCACGTGTTGAAAGCTTCCTTACTGGCAAAGAGAAGATGCATAGAAGGCTCATGGCTTCCCCCTCTCCTGGACTTTTCGGATCTCCCAGCTTTACCCAGACTTGCTGGATGAGATATTATTAACTTAATGGGAAAAGGATCTTCCAAAGAGATCTCCATAAAGGATCAGCTCCATGAGGTCTTATGCTCCACTTGCATCTTGTACCAAAAGACTTAACATCTCCAACAGCTTTATCTTACCATTGAGTAAGGAAGATGGCAGCCCCCTCATCTTGCACATAGGGAAATTGAGGCACAGGTACCCAAGTTCACATCCAAAAAAAAACCTCTTCTTGTTTAGATTCTCATCTTAAAGCTCCCATAGACAGATTTAAAAAAAAAAAAAAATTTAAAAAATCCAGCTTTGCAAACCTGTCCTAGAAGCTAAAAGGAAGCTGGGCTCCCTTGGCTAATGCAGCTCGAGTATCAGAGATGCTGATCTCTCACCACACCATCTACTATCAGTAGGAGGTACTGAGGCATTCAGTGCCTCTGAAAAAATTTAGCCCTTGGGTGGGTCCAATTAAGTCCGAAAACCAGAGGCATTCAAAATGAACGGACGCCTTCCAACAGTGGAAGCCAGGGGACTTCCGAGACACCCCAAGCCCAACTCCCCTGACTTCAAGGGGACCATTTCCCACAACAAAGACAGCGTGAGGCCAACTGGCTGGAACTCAAATAAGCAAAAAAGAAGCGCAGCATTGCGCTATACACAAAAGGTCCATGGGGACCTCCCTCCACTGAGCTCCGAGCAGCCATCCCAGATTCAACCCCATAGGACAGCAAGGTCATGCAGCGAGAGCGACTGCCGAGTCCCCGTGTGCAGCGGTCCATCCTGCACAGGGAGAACAAGGCCGCTGGCACTGCGTGACTCGCTTTGAGTGTGTTTCTCACGGGCTCCAGCGGGTTGGACAACTCTGAGGACTTGCAGGAATCCTTCAGACAAGCAGAATCCGTCTGAGTCACACGCACGAGGCGTGATGCCAAGGGTGGCTCATCCACTGGAAAAAAAAAAAAAAAGAAGAAAAAAAAGAGAAAGAAATGCTAAGGGAGAAATAACAAGTTTTGAAAAGCCACAAGAATTAACAGCTCATGGGCTGGAAAGAAGGGGAGCAAAAAAAACAGGTCTGTTCTCCCATGCTCACGTCACTAAAGCCAAGTATTCTTCATCCCTGCTGGGAAGCAGCAAGCCACCTTACCACCCATCAGCTTTGAGAGGGTCTGAAGGGGTGACCCACCCTCGATCTAAGGCCATGGCTGAGGTCTGCAGAGGAAGGGGTTGTCAAATCAAAACTACCTCTTGCTCCAAAATCAGCTTGAACAAACACTCTTTGATGGCCCTGCAAAATGAAACAGTAAAAACCAAACCAGATAGAAATGGGAAAGAAAAGCTGCCAAAAAAAAGGGAATCCAAATCCCGAAATGACTGACTCAGTGCGGGAAATGGGCATCTAAAGAGGCAACTGGAGGCATCTGAAGGAGACCTAAGAAAAGACCAGGCCCACACAACCAACTCTCCCTGTTTCTCTCCTCCCCCCTTCCAGAGGGAAGGGCAACAGAAATATATGAACCTATGGACCGTCAGAGCGAACCACAGGGAAAAGACCTGAGCCTGACCTGCTGCAGGAGCTCCAAGGACAACCAAAGTGCAGAGGAGGTCCCAACTCTCACCAGCACAAGGAGTGCTAAATTACTTTTTCCCTGCTTCTCGGTGAGAAGCTACAGCCACAGCCTTGCTTAGAGTTGCCACCAGGGTGAAGGAGCTTTTGAAGCCAGCACCTGAGCCTGCTGGGTCACGGTGCTGCCCAGAGATGTTTCATCTCCACACGGTACCGCAGGGAGCAGGGCAGCAGCTGCTTGCAGCTGCTTTGCAGCTGCTTTGCACTGCTGGGACACCTTGTCTCCCTTTCCAGTACTATACCAGGCACTAAGGGACACCCCGTGCATTTGAGGACACCCTGTTTTGCCGACCAGTCCCATATGGGCATCCTGTCCTTCCTCTGGTCTGCTCCTGTGAGCTTCTACTCCTGTTTCTGACCCATCCCACGTAGCCAATAGTACACAAGCACTCACTTGACCACAGTGGATGTTTATTTTGTGTTCCCAGCAGTCACGCTAGGCTGTTTGTTCTCTCTGGCTCTCT